GCATTCGCGCAATCATTTTCAAATCAACAAGTTTTATATCTTTTTCGTCGCGATTCTGGTGAAAGAAAACTTACGTTTTACACGAAATCTCGATTTTCTTCATTAAAAGTCTGAATGAAAGGAAGAGAACTACTTTTAATTAATTTGGATTGGATATTAAAGTCGAGTATCAAAATATACAAAAACCAATTTTCCCTTCGAATGGGAATTGAAGCGATAAGAAGATCTGTTTCACGGGCGGTCGAATTAACAGCGATGAAAAGTTTTAACCGGATGTTAAATATACACGAAACGAATGCCCGGCCACGAAAGATTTAGAATGATTTGGCGGGCTGTTTGGAAGAGGTTTTGGAGAGCGAAACGATAAGATCCAATTATCGAAAAACAGTTTATCACAGAGGCGAGGAAAGGGATAAGCCGGGTACCGACCCGATACTTTCCTTCAAAATGGACCCGAGAAACTGTCCTACTGCGACAGAAACAAGATGGAGCATCGATTGTTAACCGTTGCGATGCGAGATGGATAGGGATAATAACGCTTGTAAAATATTTAAGACTCGTTTAATCCAAAAAAAGGGTGAATCATTTTTTTTTATCATTCTTTATTAAATTATTATACCATCGAGGATTGTTTATAAACGAATAATTCGAAAGAAGTTTAAATTTAACTTCTAAAATCTTTTATCTTATTTATTTATTTTTAAAAATTAAAATTATATTATAAAAAATTAGTATTAAGTCTTAATAAAGAATTAAATCTCATGAAATATGGAAGCTGATCTAATCCACTGTCTTCTCACAGAGAATAATTAATAAGTCATGGAACAAAGTGAGACGATAATCAAAGGCAAGAATTTTTTTTGACAATTATTCGTAACGTTCTTATTCTCTCTTATTTTCGTTGCAAAGTGCGATCCTTAATTTTCTCTGATGTTGTTATACAGGAAAGGGGTTCGGGTCAATTTAAATCTAGCCTAACATTATCAGGGCGCCGATCCGGCGGTAAACCAAATGCTAAACCAAGCTTAAGTTTTGTTCGACCATTCCATAATCCGCCCTAATAGACAATGTTTGTCCCGATCCAATCATTCGTGTGATGCTATTTCAGAAATGAAGGAACACAACCAGTTATGCTTTATCTGCAATTAACATATGTTTTCTTAAATACTTTCTCGAAGTTAAAAATTAATCAAATGGATTCTCGAATTCTGTCAAATGTGTAATTAATATAGAATGCTTGTGTTAAAGTAAAAAAACATTTTTATGATCAAGGTTTAAATCGATCCTTCGCCTTTTCTCTTAACCCTTTGATGACTCTCCATTTGGATCGATTCGAACAATATTTATTTATGTACAATCTCATAAAATGTGTAACAATATACATATCGAATGATTAGATTCTTTTATCTCAAATTAGAGCGTCACATTTGAGTTTGACAATCGAAATATTATTTTCCAAGTTTCTTCCAAGTTTTATTTCTATTCGTTAAGAAATTGACGACAGAGAGAAGGGAAATAGTGATAAAAATAGAGGATGCAGTACAAGAAAAATAAGAATATTAGCATAGAGCAGCAATGCAGATTTTAATATTCGACATATTATAAACCTTAACCTTCTTTCAAAAATTCATCGAGAGATCGTCTGAAGTTGTCGATTCGAGTAAATTAATTTTTCCAAAATCATCTATCCTCGCGCAGTGCGAATGTTCCTTCCTTCCGAGTCTCGGCCATTTCCGTGAACAAAACACCCCCCTCCTCCCCCCAGATAATAGGAAATAATCTATTCTGGATTTCCCCTGGGTAATACCAAACCCATCGTGATGAAATAGGAGACTTAGAAAAGCTTCTACATTTGTAATCCTACTATGGAGGATTACTGGTTGTGGATTGTAAACGAAATTACAGCGACCTTCTCGGGGGAGGAATTCGAACAATAAAAAAAAAAAAAGAAGGAACGCAAGAAGGGGTTGAAGAGCAGCGTAGAAAAAGATACCGCGGTGAAAAGAAATATCCGGAAAGGGGTTTTCGGGTGGCGAGAATGTCCGAGGAGAAATTGCGATATTAAAAAAAAAAGGGCGGGGCAAAAAGCGTGTCTCTGAGGGGGAAGAAGAAGAAAAAAAAAAGGAATTTATTTCGAGGGAAAAAAGATAATCGATGACGAAAGAATTCAGATTCCAATTGAAAATAAATATCAAAAATTTCCTATTGAATCGAGTAAAAATACGTAGTTAAAAAAAAGAAGAAGAAAACGAGAAGAGTGGAAAACGAGCTTGCCACGTCAGCTTTTCAATCGTGTTGCCAATGATTCTAAATTAGAAGAAACGATATAACGAAAGTTGGGAAGAAAGGGAGAGAAGAATATTCCTCAGAACTTAGCGTCGATTTTACGAGCCGATTGTATCGGGGGTAATTGCTTCCCTTGATCGATCGAACCACGAAAAATCCACGGGGATATCATAAATCGCGTGTGTAATTCGATAAACGATTACGAGGTAATTATCGAGGTCGGGATATTTTTCGCTTTCGTTATTTTCCTTTCCTCCCCAACCTGGCCGGTCGGAGCAAAGACGCAGCTTATTGCGTTTTATTAATTGCCTCGACCCAGTTGGTAATCCCAATAAATAAGTTAACGAGCAAGCCGAGAAGACGAGCTTTATTCGTGAAAAACTTTATCCCACGAAATCTTCGATTTTATTTCGAATCCTCCGGAGAATGTGTAGATAGATCATTTAAAAATCGAAAAAGGAAACGTGATAATTTCGATCGTGCGGAAGATATATTTTACACAATGGAAGATGAACACGAAAGTTTGCCATGGAAAAATGACTATTGAGATTCGTTTATGAACGATTGAAGTTTACGTTGGATAAAGTGAGAGAGATGTGAGACGGGGATAAAACGATATTTTCGAATCAACCAAAATTTTTGAAATAATAATCTTTGTTCATGATGAGTGAATTTAACTAGATACATCCGAATTGACTAATTAATTGAATTATCGGGGACACGAAGGAAGAAAGTTCGTTTACGTATGTACGACTCTATTATAATTTTTTAATTACTAATATTTTAATTACCATTTCTCGAATATAAATAACTTTAGGCACGAGTAGGATTTTCAAACGTCGTCGTATAATTGATGATTCTTTTTTTTTTTTGTTTCAGGACGAAAAGAACCAATTGCTCATCACGAATCTCTGGTTAAAATTGGTGAGTTATTTAATGTATCACGAATATAACGAAAAGCTTTGCGAACCTGTAGTAGGAAAAATACGAGCTAATTTTACGCGGCAATTGCAATCAAAATTTAATATCGATGTTGAATAATTCTCATTGACTGATTAATTAAAAAAAAAAAAAAAAAAAAAAAAACGAGACCATGAAAAAATTGTATTATTGAGAGAGAAATATAATAAAACCACCGTTTAACGAACTAATTGAAAGATGAAAATTATCGAATAAAGAATTTTGGATAATAAAAGAACCGAATAATGTAAATCCATTAATTTATATTTTAAATGTAAAAAACAAAAAGAAGAAGAAGAAATAAAATTACGTAAATTTCTTTCGAAATTAAAATTTTTTCAACTAGTGAATCTTTAACATAACATAAGAGAAGCGTGTGATATTTCGATTTCTTTACGGATTACAATAGCCAATATTCGAATTAACTACGATTACCATCTTCGATAATTGTTGACCATACAAATTTCTAGCAATTCAGTATAGTTTCTAACGATAATATTAGATCGAACCCAATATTCCAATTAACAATAATTACTGTCCTGACTGATCGTAGATTATACAAATTCTTACTATTAAGAACTGTTTCGAATATTTATAATACAAAACTTGAAAGAAAAATACTCGAATCAACCATGATCACACAAATTCCTATTTGCTTTTCGAGAAAAATTTTTAACAATCAAATAAAGTTCGTCGTGGAATTTTCAATTTTACGAAATAAAATTCCTAATCACAAAACTTAATAATAATAACTAAAGATCGCAGATTGTCCAAATTCTTCCAACATTGAACCGACGCTATTTTTTTACTTGAGATTTCCACAGAAGACTTCTACGAATTCCAATAATTCGAGAAAATCAAGTTCGAGAAAACATCACGTGGTATTATTTTGGAAGTTGGAATCGTGGTCACAACAGATTCTTATCAACTAGAACTATTAATAGAGGCACGGGCAACAGGTACTCCCTGTTGGAGAGGGTGAAGTGGCGCACCCTTATTAGGGTAGACCCGCCGTAATATTTCCTTTCAGGAGGTTTCGAACCGCACTTTAAAACGCTTGTCGTTGCTCATTTCCAACGGCTTATGCCTCGTCAATCCTCGCCCTCATCCACAACCTCTATCAATGCCTGCGTCATGAAGCTTTGCGATGACCCAAATTCGCAGTTAACGATTCGCCGATGATGTTTTTGGCTCGATCGACGAATCGGCCATTTCGCCCCGATCTATATTAACAATTAAAAACGGGAATGTAGAAACACGCTCGAGCCCCTTCCCTGATCCGAGATTAATATTTGGGATGATCACCGACGTTGATAAATTGTACGAACAAATGGGACGATGATTTCGAGATCATCGAGACGAAGGGATTCGAAATGAATACGAGCGCTAATGTATGTTCAATCGAGAGATTTTTTTTTTCTTTCTCTCTTCTATCGTTAATGTGCAATTTTATTCATTTATTTTGTTTTGTTTTTTTTAAATCGAATTTGAAAACAAATGTTTTGTTTTAAAAAATTTCTCATGTATACAAAATTCGAATAAGATCAACTTTCACTTTTTAAAGTGTACAATTTTGTTTTAATATCCGCAGAAAAGTAAAATTTTTCAGGAAACGAATAAAAAGCTTGTTATTTTAATTTAGCTTCAACAGATGGAGTTATTTTTTCATATTTTTATTAAAATATCATTAGAAACTCCAAAGTCTTAACATAAGTATAGAAATATTCAATACTTAAAAATTCCTTAAAAATAAAAGTAGTAGTAGTATCGATTATTCTTGAACAGTAATTATAATGAAGAAGAAATCAATAATACACCATAACGAATAATCAAAGAAGAGAGAGAAACGTCGTAATTGTTCATTAACTCCATTATATAAAATACCATTACTGCATCAACGTGATCAATCACGTGATCGAGTAATGCAAACAAATAATGCAAGATCTTTTGAAAATTAAATCCGTATAAATTTCTACAATTTTCTTTATCTCCTTCGATTTTATGAATACTTCGATTTTATTACGCTCACTTTTATCTTCACGAAAAAAACACACATATTTTTCGATGTAAAAGTTAAAAGAGAAATTATTGGAACGATAAAAAATCTAGAAGAAAAAAAATTTTCAAAATTCGCGAAATAAATATTATTTTTGTTCGATATTTCTTTCGTATAATAAAAATATATTATCGATTATTTAAGAAAAAAAAATTCCAAATGCTTCCAAACTTTTTCGCGGTATGAACAATAAAAAAAAAAAAGTTTCGTCTCTTTTTTCGTCTACCCTTGGATGTCAAGTGCACGAGTAGTAAGGGAGTGAACTTAACGCACAGCTGCACTTGACTTGCACCGCCTGATATCTTTTTGAATATAAGTCGCTGAGATATTCAACAACTTCGAGATAAGACTTGGAGATATTCAAGATATGTTTGACGTTTTCACGTATCGAAACCACGTCCTACATATTTTTCTGATAGCATTTCTATCAAATACATTTGTGTCTCAGCCAAGAAGAAGGGGACAATCGGAATCAAATGTTCCTCCGCAATAACTCAGCAAGGCATGAAGTAATATTAATCGTACGATTACAATTAAAGTTACGAAATATTTTTATAAAAATATGAAAATTGTGATATAGAATTTCATATATATAGAACACGTTGAATTGAATTGAAAACTGTTTCGATTATTCATAAAGAATGACTTTAGCGAAAAAGAATTGAACGAATAATTGTTTCAAGAGAGAATATAAATGTGTGGAATTATATATTTTGTAAGTTATGTATTCCATTCTAATTTTAAAAGAATAATATGTTTAAAATTTTGGTATACGATATTGCAAAATTTATGTTAATATTAAAATCGAGAATGTAAAATTTAAAATTATTTATTTGAATTGCTATTTTCCAGAAAGAATCAATATGGAAGATTGAAAACTGTAATCATGTATCAAACATCAAGTACACGTGTAATTCATTAAACACTTCCAATATACAAAATTAAATAAACAGATACTTTAATAAGGAAAACGAGTCTTTGTGATAGATGACATAATATTAATTTTCTTTGGGTCAACTTCAAATTAAAATAAATTACAATTTTCAATTCGAAATGTTATCGACATAATTTTCAATATAAAAATAAAATAAATATATATTTTGACAATAAATAATCTATCCTATCGTAGGTAATAATAATTTAATTTAACAACAGTGAAGAACTATTTGAATAAAAATGTAAAAAAAAATTTTTTTAAAAATCAAGAAAAAGAATCTTATAAACAAAGAAAAAAAGTTACATTTTAACTTGATGATATTTGCGGATTAATACGGAAAATTTGAAATGCAATAGATATTATGCACCTCGTATCCAAGATTGCTTCGCTTTCATTGAATCAACTATATCAACTACTGTTACGCTGCATTTGCATAGTTTTCATTGAGGTCATGGGGTAGAGAATGCAAAGATACATAGCATATTTCTGCATATCCCCTTCACGGCATACCAACACATTGACATACGAGAAATACGTAGTAAGCGACATGCGACGAAACGTCGCATAATTTGCATATGTGCAAGAGATTCCATGTCAGCTGGTCATACATTGATTACTTATTAAAGATTCTAATATGTTACAGCATATAAACTATGCTATATTTATACCGTAATTACCAAGTTGGACGACTATATACTGTACAAGTTCTGACAGAAGGTGGACATCATCCTTTGGAAGAAGCTTTAATCGGTTTATAAACATCAATCTTAATTTATTCTGCATAGTAATCGAAATATTAGGTTGTTGAAAATTTCAGATGACAAATTTAAATATTCTACATCAAATTTAAAATTCTTATCAATATTCGAATTAAATTATTTATTATTTAAAATATATGATATTTTATATCGAATATTTTAATTTGAAAAAAGATTTTAAATATTCTACTATTTAATTTAAACAAGATTTTCTTCTGAAATTATTCTATCGTTATTTGATTAATTTAGAATAAAAAGAATTTTTCAGTTTTTTTTTTTTTGTAATATTTTACCCGTAAGTTTTTTTTCAAAGTTTTTTATTGTATCGATTATATGCAGCAAGCAAATTAAGCGAGAAAATCTTGTTAATAAGAACATATTTTTCTAAGAGATCTGACACAAACATAAAAAATATATATATTTTACTTCGTAATTTTAACTATATTTATATCAAAGAATATATTATACAAATATATATAAAATAATTTAATTCGATTTAATCGATGAAGAAATAGAATTTCATTTTATTCTTTCTTTTTTTTTTTTTTTAAATAATCTTTTTAATTTGATAATCTTAAAAGTAAAATTATATAGCGAAAAAAATGAACTCTTAAATAAA